ATATAATTCGTCTTAATGCAGGATGAGCATTCTCACGCCCATCTAGCTGCACAGTTCAAGAAACACACTACAAAGAGAGTCTATGTAAGTCTTACCTGTGGAGTGCCCTCACCACTTTCCAACCACGTAGATATCCCTATAGGTCGCGATCCAAACAACAGAATTCGTATGACTGCTAGTGCTGGACTTGGAACCCGTGGAAAGGCCCGCAATGCTGTTAGTAGGTGATATACTATATCCTCTATCCCTCTTAATCTATGATTAAGTTTCTTGAGATTTGTCCCCGATTGTCGTATCAACTGCATGCCATGATGACAATTTTTAAGTAGGCACTCTAGTTATTGTTTTTGCCTTTCTGCAGGGAGATAATGAAGTGTAATGATGCTTTGTAACCATGTTTTGTCTTGACCAATTTGATAATGATTATACATGTACTCATGTGGAGTTGTTTGCATTGAGTGAATTCCTACCTCATAGACATACATTTGATCAGCAATAAAACTGTTGTGGCAGGTACAAAGTAATTGAAATACTTGCTGGTGGTGGCTGTGCATTGGTTGAATGGAGGTTAGAAACGGGGCGAACACATCAGGTATCATTTTTTTTTTTTTTTTGTGCATTGTAACCCTTCTATATCAATTAGGAGTTATTTTGTATAAAATTGCAAGGACTAAAACGATTTTTTATTATAATGGTAAAATTGTAATCACTAGTAAGTATCCAAGAATATAAAATTAACCATCCTAAGAAGAGTCCTAACCCTATGGTTGACATAATTTTATTTATTTATTATTATTATTATTATTATTATTATTATTATTGTTATTATTTTTTTTTATTTTTTTTTTTGTGAACTGGGAGGTATCCCACATTCACTCCACGGCTTCACCACTCACTGCAGCCCACCGTAACTTACGGTAAAGGCCTATCACGCCTAGGGGATCTCCACGCAAAGGAGTGGGACTAATCCTCGCAGGATGCCCCACCCGCACTCCCCATGCTAGTCAAGATCGATCTCGTGATTTCTTGACTTCTCCCTTCAAAGGGAGTTTCACCCACAACCAGTCACCACTTGACCAGCTGGTTGTAATTGGAATCCTTCTAACTAAAATTAAATTAGTAAATCTAGAGTCCTATTTAAAAATAACTTCCAATAGTATTACGTAAATAAGTTTGTTAAGTATCCACATTAAGTGATTCCACATTAAACTCTATAACTCGTTTAATGTGGAATCATTTAATGTGGATACTTAACAAACTTATTTACGTAATACTATTGGAAGTTATTTTTAAATAGGACTATAGATTACTTAAAATATGGTTATAAAAATATGGTTAAAATTTTAAGTAATACTAGTAGATATCCTGTGCATATAGATGTACATAAAATATTATACGTAATATTTGGGAATTTAATATTAAAATTCTAGATAATGACCATATTACATTTTTAAAAATTTGATCATTAGGAAAAATAAATTAACGATTTTATTATTATGAACAATTGTTTATTATCATTAGGTAATAACAGTGCTTATTGCTAATTCATGATCAACTTCCTTTCGTAGTACCCTACCCCCAGGGGAATTCGAATCCCCGCTGCCTCCTTGAAGTTTGATTGTTATTATTATTATTATATTTAAACAATGGTTTATAAGCTTCTATAGTTGTTTGATTATGTTATTAAAAAAATTTACTAATTATTTTTAAAGAAATTTTTTCATGAGATACAAAAGAAAAAGATAATATTGATGTTAAAAAAAATAACTTGAAACAATTGTTTTTATATTTATAGTGAATTATTGTTAGTTGGTATTAATAACTATTATATAATATAATAGAAACATAGACAATTATACTCAATAAGATGTATTAATGTGAGAAATAAAAATAATATTAATAATAAATTTTGTAACCGAAAATGGAGGAAAAATTTTAAAGGTTTTATTAAATAGGTTTTATTAAATGCTATATGCTAGCAATTATATATATATAGATTACTTAAAATTTCTCATCTGTATAATGAAAAGATAACATTTGATATTATATGAATTTGTTTACTTGTTAGAGAAAATATATTACCAAAAATGGGTAAAAATAATTACTTATTATTCCACAAATTTATTTATTTATTTAAATTATCATTAATATATATAACCTTTAGAAATAAGTGTCATAAGAAACAAAAAAATATCAGTTCTTTATTCTTTCTATATACTAATTATATGCTATAGTCTATACTAATACTTTAATTATTATTTTTTTTACACTTTAAGATTTTCAAATGCATATAAATGGGAAATAGTATATAATAACAAGTAATTAGATACCAAATATATATTTTAAAATGACACTGGTTTTTGAATAAAGAGAGTGTTGATTATAACAGCAAAATTGGTAATTTGGTATTGACTGAAGTATTTTGAAAGATAGTGTGGGCTTTACAAATTATATTTTATTTTACATGATTTATAAAATGCATAATAAATAAACATGCTAATTATTAAATAATTAATTATTATTAATTTTATTGCTTTTATAAAAGAAAATTATCGTTTTGGCTGATCAAACTTATTTTTAAAATATTGTTTTTTTAACTTAAATATTCTTATTCTTCAAAGTTTTTATTCACGTTCATTTTGTTGTAAAAAATAATTATCATTTCGACTTAAAAATATGTTTTATCCTCTCAAACAATAATAAGAATGTTATTGAGCCCCAAAAACAAAATATGTGTTGAAGCATTCAACAAAATAATAAATAAAAAAAGAAAAAAAAGTATAAAATATATACAATAATTTATGAAAAATTTCGCCAAATGACAATTTTTCCCTTTGAGTTTCTCAGATAAACAAAATGTCCACAAAAAGTTTAGCAAAATTATCATCTAGTAGCATATTTTATGATTTTGTCTAGATTAAAAATATTTCAAACAAACAATAGTAAGTTAGAGAATGGAGGTTTATACACAAAAATTTTCATTAATAATGTACTTTTTCTGCTTGATTAATTAAATATAATTGTACAAACAAATGAATAAACCATAGAAATATGAAAGGAACCATAATATGAAATTAAAAAAAAATTATAAATCATGTATCACGTACATCACACGTACACTTTAGTAAAGAAAAAAATGAAGGTTTTGTTTGCTTCGTAGAACCAATTTACGGATTCATTTTTGAAGAACTTTAATTTGATCATTTCCCTTAAATTATTTTGCATTGACTGTTCGTGGCTGCACACTGACACTTTGCATGGAGATGCATGCTATACAATGTTGTCTTTTGTATCAAAATCATGATCAATAATTCTACTTGATTACATTTGAAGAGTAATAATATAATTACTCCCCACTTCAGTGTACGCTTTAAAGTAAATCAGATGATTGTTTTTTGCATTAGATCCGAGCCCACGCAAAGTATGTTGGTATCCCACTATTGGGAGATGAATTGTATGGAGGAACTAAGAGCATGGCCATATCATTGCTTCAGTCAAGGAGCCCAGCTAGCCATCATCGTCAAATTTCGCAACTAGTCGATAGATTAGACAGACCCTGCCTTCATGCTTTAGTTCTTGGGTATGATTAATTTTTATTTTCTTGCTTCAGCTTGTTGTTACCGTAGAAACTTGCCTTAATTGTGGTAAGAAATCATTTGCTTTTTAGATCACAAAATACCCAAAAATGGGTGGCAGTAGCAAACTATTATTTATAAATTTTTATACTCAAGTATGTTTATCTGTAGTTACTGTGTGAAACTAATATATTATCTTCGTTTAGATTTACGCATCCACGCACAGGAGAAGACTTATGTTTTCATCAGATGCCACCGACTGATTTTGCAGAGATTTTGGATCAGCTCCGGGAAATTGGCACCAAGAAGGTAGCATGTAAATGCATGTTCAGTATCTACTCGTCTTAAAAGCAAACTCTTGGAACAATATGCAGGACATTTTATCTGACATTTACTATCCATATATTATACGTATGTCCAACATGCCTTTTTATGGATTAATGTTTATGATGAGCACTTTATGAATTTTCAGGCAATGTAGCTGGTTAGATGTGAATAGAACTATGGTAACAATACCCAATTCTAAGGTCGATTTATGCCCATCTTGCAAAAATCTTTTTGCACTCGACAAGTTCCAATGACTAGCCATGGAAACCTATGCCTAAACAAGCGAGTTTTTATGGTCCCTTGCTCTTTCAAGCTTTTCAAGTTGCCGGAGTAGACAGGGTTAGTGGCTTCAAGATTTCGCCTGGTATGACAGTAATAAGGATTGTTAACTTACAGTTCATATTTGTTTTGTACTTCTATTTTGTTCTCTCTCATTCCTTGATTTTTTTCTTTATCTTGTTTGATTTAGGGAAAATGGATTCTTCGAATGATTGAAAAAAGAATTTGAAAAAAGAAATGGATTCTTTGAAAGTAATCTCATGTTGGGGCTTAGAACTTGGTAATTAGCATTCTGATGCTCAATGAGAAACCAAACAAGCATTTTGATGCTCAATTAGAAGGTTTGATAAGTTGATCTTTTAAAAATAGCCTTTTGGTTTAATAAAGTTAATTTTGACAAAAATTCATTATATGATAATTAGAAGATTATAATATTTGTTGTGTCTACATATCAAATAGCTAATTATTTTCTAAACATTTTGCATAATTGGTTAATCCAACCAATTTGCATATATCCTTATCGCCCTACCCAGCTTGCGAGTTGTTCGAAGTTGGAAACAACGAGTTACTTTAGCTAGCATAATTAGTTATTCAAACTGAAATTATGAATTAGGTCCTTGCTCAACCTAGCATGCGAGCTGTTCAAAGTTAGAAACAACGAGTTATTTTAGCCAGCATAGTTCCAACTAAAATTCGAATTAGGTCCTCGCCCAACCCAGCTTGCGAGATGTTAAAAGTTGGAATCAACGAGTTTTTTAGCCAACATAATCCACATAATCCAATGTTGACTAATTTTGAATTAGGTCATCGTCTAAAGCTTGCGTGCTGTTCCATGTTAGAATCGGCGAGTTGTTTTAACCAGCATAATCATCCATTTAAACTAAAATTGAATCAGGTCCTCGCTCTTGTGATTCGTTCAAAGTTGGAATCTACGAGTTATTTTAGCCAGCATCAGCATGATCAACTGTTCAAACTAAAATTTTGAATTAGGACCTCGTCCAATCCAGCTTGCGAGTTATTTAAAGTTGGAATCAACTAGTTATTTTAGCTAACATAATTAGCTGTTCAAACTAAAATTTTAAGTTAGGTTCTCGCCCAACCGAACTTGCGAGCTGTTCAAAATTGAAATCACCGAGTTATTTTAGTCAGCATAATCAGCTATTAAAACTAAAATTTTCCTAAAAGAAAAAGATTCGTTCTTCCACCCTTTATGTTACTTGTATGACATTCTTGCATGACATCCAACATTATATTTCCTTAACTCGATGAGAACCCGTTTCCATTCATTCATTCATTACAATGATTAGTGTTGAACATTATTCTCATGTTTACATGATACTTAAGGATAAGTACGTTTAAGGTGGACAACATTCTATAATCTCGGCAATTTTCTTCCCTTACCATCGTCTAGTTCGTAGGCTCCTTTCTCTAGCACACAAGTCACCGTGTAGGGTCCTTCTCAATTTGGCTCCAACTTTGCCGGGTCTTGAGCTCTGACTGTCTTCTTCTCCTTGAAAGGTAGACGAGTCTCCTTTCTAGGACATCATCCACGGTTTTGGGTGAGATGGAGTTTGCCGTTTTACAGATCGGATGGATGATCATTGGCTGGACAAGACACCAAAGTGTTTTCCTCATCACCCTCAAGCTGGCTGCAAAAAAAAAAAAAAAAAA